GTAGTTCTCTTCCTGCTAACACAAGGGAAACTCCTCAAGCAAAACAAGCCAAGCGACTTTGTCAATTTAATACTGTCAACAGCACCACAATAGTTTGCCATAAATTTCATGGCATTCAAAGCCTAAGCCTCCCATCCTGATCTTTGTGTATCCCACCAGTTTAATAAAAATATTTAAGGTTTACAGATACGGATTTTTTCTGATATTATTGTACAGTAGAGTAAATGAAAGAATAAAAAACAAGAACAGCACTATACAAAGTAAATTCACGAGTTCTTTCCAATTCGATTCGAAGTCATAAAAACTTCACCTTGCTAACATATCAATCGTATGTAACCCAAATTTATTATACTTGCAAAATCTGACCATCAGACTTAAATCATGCTAATTAACAGTCTAGCAAGTTAACAAAAGAAAAATAATTTCATGGAACATAAGCAAGTCAAAGTATTCATACATTTACCAACTTGCACAAAACAAAATACATGCTTTAAAAAAAGAAAAAAGAATACTACCTACTTCTTTTCCAAGTAAACGTGGCTAACAAAGGAACAATGCAAAAACTGTAGGATCCTACTACCAGCAGTGTCAGTAAGGTAATATCATAGTGGCTTCCTGAGTCAGTCGGTGGCGTTAGTGTAGAATTGATGAAAATACGAGGAGAAAAATTAGTTTCTGTGCAACTGCGGAGTCCTCCTGGTATAGTCATTTAAAAAGGATCAAAGCAAGCTTAAAGCCAGAGAGTCTGCAGCCATGTTCAGCCTCTCATATTGCTCTTGCTTGCTCTTCATGAATCGGAGTGGAAAAAAAATTGTAAGCTTCAAGGCAGTGGACAAAACAGAGTAAACCAGCTAGCAAATCAGGCTAAATAAGGAGTCATCTGTTTGGATACTTAATCTGAACACATCTCTTTGTTATGAAGCGATGACCCTTTCCTTTGTCACACGACAGCGTAAAACGAAGAGAGGACAAAGCTGCTTAGCAATTCCAGATACAGTCCTAAACCTGAACAGCAAAAGTCAACATGGCTGTCACGGTAACAGAAGCAATCTGACTACACAGCAACATGCACTGCATATTTTATTACACATACTCTTACTCCTCTGAGGAATATATTAGGTTTAATCTTTTTTAATGAAGCCACTACTAGAAAAAAAAGAACATGAGAAAATGTAGATATAAATGTATGCATGCATGCGCATATATAAGCTACAGATGTACATTAAAGCACAGTTCTCTTTTTCAGTCCATCGAAGACAGATTTAAATGACATCTGGCTCAAAGGAAAGGCCTTTACCCACTCTCCAAGATATATCAGATGATGCAATAGTAATGAAATATTTGAATGTACTCATTTGAATATGTATAGCTGGGAATACTGAAGTGTCTGACAGTCACTTGTGTGTTATTTCCTTTATATTTTTGCCCCTAGAACTCCTACAACTGCTGGTACAGACCCTTTGTAGAGCTCCAACTCAAAGCTAATTCTGTTATTCACACCTCCCCCCCCCACCCCGAGTTTTACTCAAGATAGATTTGGTTCAGGTCATACACCAATGCTTATCATTACTTTAGAAGTTATAGAACTCTATCCATGCAAAGTTTTACCTTCTAATAGCAGTTTCACTTACCTGCTTTTGATCTTATCTAGACATTTTGCTGTAAAACTCTGAAAGCAAATATAATCTAGTTCAAAAAGAGCATTTAGCATCAAAAACCTGCAAAGTGCTGTTCCAAATATTATGATAGGTAATCCATTAATACCATTCAGACTTATTTCTTATTACAATATATGTAGACAGAAGGAAACTTTTGCTCAAGACGATCTCCTGGTTTTGTACTGTTTCGAGACAGAGGATGAGCTGTACTGAAACCTTTGCTCATCAAACCAAAGTCCAAGGCTCAAAGCTCCTTCAGGCGTCATGTCTCAAGAAAGAAAGTTGTAAGGTAAGAGGCAAAGAGTAAGACCTAGAACTAAGTAGTACAAGAAGAATTAAAACAGGCCTTTCTCAGACAGAACTCTTTACATGGATTTTTTCAGCACGCAGTTGATGCTGGCTACTAGTTAAAAGCCGTAACCCTGACAGATACTTACAATTTCTGCTGAAAAGACTTCGCTCGCTCTGAGTGCTGCTGACTGATGAGATGCTGGGTGTTCGCTCAAGCACTGATCTTTTGACAGGCACTTTGGATTTGGCGAGCTGTTTACTGGAGCTAGTCCAGGAGGCTGGAGAATTTTTCACAGAGGCATGCTTTTCTTTTGGCGAAGATCCCTTACCTGTCAATTATGGGGGAAGGAGGAGGGAGAGAAAAGACCAAAAGGAGTTGGAAAGAAGCTTAAACAATTGCTTCTTTTACCTATATGCTGACAAGTAAAGAGATTTACATGTTAAGAATACATCTAAAAAGGCTTGATCTTGACATATTGATACAGTAAAAAAACACTAAAGCAGGAAAACAGTTCCAAGGATTTAAAGGATCCCGTTTTACCCACATATTGACTTCAGGAACAAGTCAAGAACTTTACAGACTGGTTTTCAAGGCAGACATCTGCACTCCCAAAGAGTCTTTATAGCATTCTCCTGCCTCTGCATATTATGGCTAGCTCTACTGGTGATCTCATAAAAATATAACCTCTGGCTCAAAGATAATCCAAGATTCTTTTGTTTCTTCCCACCCTCAAAACAGGTTTCTGTGTCCCTCCCACCCCTCTGTCCCAATCGACAGAGCACTCCAAAAGCTAACATCCTTTCAACGCTAAAGACAGCGTGAGAGCAGCAAATAGTGCTGTACTCACACAATACTGAAAACTGACAAGTTCTGCAGGACTAGTTAAACAGCACTCCCTGGAACCAAGTCCTTAATGGCCAAGTGGTGCAGACATTTTTGCATTAATCGTTGTTTTCATTTGAGCCTCTTAAATATAAATGCCCAATAGCCAAGTTAATCAAAGTAGAAGAGTATCTATACAGGAGACAGGTGTGCCATCTTCAGACAGGAGCTTACTCCTGTACTATTAACAAAGCAGCTACAGTTTCTGCAAGAATATTTGAGTTTAGTTAAGCTTTTGGTTTATTTCTGAAAAGTGCACACCCAGATTAAGACTACAATGCCCCAAAGGAAGTTATGTACACACAGACTTGTCTTGCCAGCACTGAGTTGACTCCCATCAGCTCTGACATCAAGATCTTTATACAGCCCTCTGAATAACTATGAAAAGAGGTTTTCGGTTTTGTACAAAAACAAAAATAGAGATATGAGAGACAGACATATTTTTAAAAACAATATTTTGTTATAATAAATAAGATATATTTTACAAACTATCTTAACTTCTGATGTAATTGCCATTTTCAAGTCTGACTCAGTTTATCTTACTTGATAAGAGATGACTACAGTGACTTTTTACTTTCAGATTTGACTTAGAACAATCAAGTTTCTACTTAAAGGGAATACCCTTCCCTTTATTCTTGTCACTATAAGCCACATTTCAGTTTTGCTGAAGCTATGTAAGAGACTGTTGAAATATGACAAAACCAGCCAGTAATTTCACTTCATTCAACATTAGTTTTGCTGCAGGATTTCCACTCTTAAATACCAATGACCAAGAAACCACCTATTAGCACTAAGACCAAGAAAGCGTGACATCAAGAGGATTACATTAAGATTTAGGCAAGAAAAGCCACGTATGCTCAATGTCTGCTTTTTGACAGCAGGTGGTGTGACAGGATTAGAAAACTTGTCTGAAAACATCTTGTATCATGTAAGCAAAACCAGGAACAGCACTAGTGAAGGAAATTATATCCAAGCTATTTCTCTCAGTTGAGACCAGCTCATTAACGAAAGAGAAACCCCACACGCAGCATGTACTAAGCACGCATTAGGATATAACATAATACCGGTCACTGAAGCGTGTGTGTTGTATTCAGCAAGTCAATAAATGTAATCTACATCAGACCTCTTTGAAGGTGCACTTTTACTACTTGTTTGGCATTACTATGCAGAACTCCGATTCTGTACGTGGCTTTACTGTAGTCTGGTATTAAATCTCCTGGACAAAATTACTGGCCATATTTTAGAATCTTTTGCAAGTTACAAAAAAAAGTATATATTTGTGACATCTGAACTTCATATAACAAATTTGACAGCTTTGTAAAACTTTCCCTGTTGTTTTCTAACAGCTTATTTCATTAATAGATCAACATACCAGAAAAGTAATTAACCCAGACCAGTCAGAAGTTCCTTTTCAGCAAAACAAGGTGCAAAAAACAAACCCCACTGCCTCAAAAACAAAAGGGCTGCTGTACAAACACATTAAGTTTGTAAGACTTGGTAAGTTAAAGCTTTACATTTCAAAAGGCAGCTAGAGGAACCAATGCAGCTTATCAACCGCATTCTACTACATTTTATAGTTTGAAGAGGAGGGTAGCATGTTTGATTGCTGCTGTGCTGGACTCGTTTGTCCCGTTTAAAAGGTACATGAACTAAATCCTGTTTTCTTCACAGTGACTCCAGAGGGGTCAAGGCAAGCATTTGAAAGCACTCAGTCTCTTCTCATACAGTACGTTCTCTATATATGATTTGCAGCCAGCCTGGCTTCTCCACAGATGCTGGAATGCAGCGGTGCACTAAGCTAGCTGTGAACTCAAACCCATTCAGCGAGCACAGCAAGCGCTGGGATGTCCACTTCCAGAAGCACATCAACGAGAGGACCTTTGCTCTTTGCTTAGTTCTTCTACTGCTCAGTGCTTTCCTACAAGGCTCCTACCAAAGTAATTACTCAAGCACTCAAATGCATTTTTCAAAAGCCCAGCTTGAGGGAGAATTTATTTTAAGTCATGACACAAGGTCATTAAGCAACTCCTCTAGGTGTTACTTCAACTAACAGCAACGGTTTACAAAGTATTTTTTATAACTACCATTCCCTAAGAAAGGAGTCACACAGAATTAAATGCAAAGGTTTTGAAGACAGAAGCAGGAAGATATGGTCTGTAAACAAAAGTACTGGAAGTAAGCACAGAAGCAGGATATTTAGCTAATCATTATTATAAAGACAAGCAATAGAATCAAAGTAACAAGCTTTCAGCAGTTATTTAATCTAGTCACTGAAGTGGAATACTAGAAATATCACATTCCTCTACAGTGAGGTAATGAGTTCGCAATTCTTTAGAAAAAAAGTCTCTATGCAACAACCAATTTACTGTAAGCATGTTAAAGTATCTCTTGTATTGGAATGGAAATAAAAACAAAGCTCATTTTTCAAGGTCTGAAGTCAGATTTCATGTCCTTACTCAGTCATTCTCTCACATTAATCCCTCAAAGGTGGTTATTGTCAAGAATGAATTAAGGCCCCTTTTAAATAGCACTGGAGCCTAAAAAATACAAATTAAGAGAATAAACATACGCTAGTAGTGGTGAACTTGGGACCCTGTTGACACCAAGCAGATTGTAAAATTAAATATGTATTCACCAATTCTGAGATTCAATGTTCACTATTTCAAACCACATGAACACATTTCACACGCAAAACTGAGCACGGAGCAGCTGGCATTCACAGAGCTATGTGACATCTGGAAATGAATGGCTGGAAGCCTGTCCCAGACAAACTTAAGGCAGACTGAGTGCAAAAGGAATCTTTGGAAGGATGCTTTTTGTTGATGCTGGTTTTGTTTAACCTCAAAGCTAACAGTAATAGTTGGTTTGGCCTTCCATTGCCTTATCTCTTGAATATGTTGAATTTTGGATTTTTGTCTGATGCTTTTCTGATTTTTCCTCTAAGTCTGGAAGTCCAGAGGGCTCCGTTTTAGAAATGCTAAACTTCTTAGTTTTTAAAAAAATAGTTTTAAGCATGATGAAAAAGCCCAGTCTAACCTACATCACAAGGCGTTTACAAAGCAAGGGGAGTAAAACTTCAAGAAAACATGCTACTTTTTGTCATTTACTGAAAGGAACAAATCATGGAAAGCCAAACTGGACTTTGGTATTGTTTTCAACAGATCAATCTTAGCACAGTTGAAAGAGCATTTATGGTTGCTATCTTGAGCATTGTAAAGCAGTAGCAGTAGTAACAGATTTATGATGGCTCCAAGCTCCCCAGGTTGCCTGGTCAGGCATTCTGCAATATTAGTTACACCATACTATGCTATGTATGTATGTATGTATGTATGTATGTTCGTTCCTTCAAGGAATACAGAGTGGTTACAGCATGTTACATAGCTCTACCAAAGATCTACAGGTAATCTGTTTCTAGGTAGCTCTCTCCTTTAGTCTCAAATCGCTACCAAACTTACCGAAGAACAGGCAGGACACAGTTATGTTACATTGCTAGTAATGCCTCAACTGCTAAACAAATATGGACAGAGAGGGAATGTTAAGCTACTGCTGGGACTTTAAATATTTATGTGAAAGAGTTATTTGTTTAGGGGATTAACAGCTGATTGGAGAACAGTTTACATATCCAGGCAAGACTGAATTCCTCATCTGATGCAAACTTCCACAATACTGTTGTCATTGGCCTACAACGCCTAGGAAAGTGCTCTCTCCTTTTTGGCACAGGTATCCAGGAACCAGCAGCAAGTTAGTGTCTAAAACATAACCAGGCTGCCAGCAGTCATGAGGGTAAAGGTATTCATGGGCTGGTCCTCCTCCTGCAGCTCAATATTCCCAGACTAAAAGTGGAAAACTGATCATCAGTACAATAGAGTGTTGTATTAGCAATTAACAGCAGCCAAACCAGCCCTTCTTATTCTTTCAACCACTCCCACTGTCAGAAAATGGATTGGGGTGTTTTCATTTGGGGATAGGGGGATGGAGGGGGAGGGAGAAAGAAAGTAAGTATGTCTACCATTAAATTTCACTTTTTTCTCTTTCTATGTGGCTCAGTTGTGACATTTGGCAAACTTCCTCCCAGTTAAACCCCTCCCTGATTAAACAACTCTTTTCCAAATCTTTTCTCAGGGTCCACTGCTTGCATTTGGTCTCTCTGGCACCTAGAAATGGCCCTTCTCCCTACTCTCGAGTCAGAACTCACGCCTGCTCCCCCATCTCCAGTACTGTCTGCCATCATGCTGCTTGCTGGGTTTACTAAGTTTTAGGTATTTCCCTTTTGCAGGCTGATCCAGAGCAGCCCCATGAGACACCACGTCTGCACAGGCACACTGTCATCCCCTACAGCCCCGGGTAGAGCCAGTCTCCAGCCAGCAAGTAGTTTTACACCAGGTTCCTTGGGGCAACTGCAGGGCTGTGGCAAGGCTTGCCCACTCCAGCTTTGCTAGGAAACAG